AGCATGAGGAACAGTCTTCACTCCGGGTACTCATAGGTGGGCATTTCTGCATGTAGACGGGCCTGCTTGGAGATGGATAGAGGAGCGGTGTCTCAGTTCTTAAGACCATCAGAAATATGTGTTTTCCGATGGTCTTGGGCTGTTCTAAGGTGTGCGTGCCTCCAAAAAAGTTTTGTTCCCTTTACAGACTCCTCGATTGTTTGTTGGAAAATTGAGCCAGAGGTTCGAATTCATTTCCAAACCTGAAGGGTAACAAAGGCCCATCATTTTGGAAATTCCACCAGTCTCTACCCAACCAGTAATCCTGTCTTCTCTATGATGTTGCGTTGTCCAAGCCACGCTAGAGCTTTTCTAAGATGCCAGGAACTCACCAAAGTTTGAGATAGAACTTTGTCTTGGTGAACTGTGTTGTGTCAATTTACCTCGGTGTCCCTTGAGACCATGGCCTGAGGCCCAAGGCCCAGTGACTCACTCCTTCACCGTGTCTGGTCTTTGCCTGGTCCACCACAGTCATGATGATATTGGCAGCAAAGACAAATATCCATTTCATAAATCACATGTTCACAGAATTATGTTAGCTTTAATTCCATTTTTCCACATACTCTTTGAAGGCCCCTCTTATATACAAAGCACTGATTGCATAGTGTTTCAAGACTTGGCTGCTAATTGAAAAATTGGCTGTTTCAACCCAAGAGCCATTAGGTGGGAAAAGGATGTAGCAGTCTGCTTCCATTTAGAGTTACAGCTTTGGAATCCTGTGGGAAGTTCTACTCTGTCCTATATGGTTGCTACCAATCAGAATCCACCTGAAGGTATGAATTTGGTTGATCATACATATATATATGTATAAATATATGCTCATATAAAATTTTCATGGTCTTTTAGCTCCATTTCAAGAACTTTTTGAAGCCTCCTCGTATATGTGTGTATGTATATACAAAAATACCCACTGCCCTTGAGTCGATTCCAACTCATAGCAACCCTGGATAGTGTGTCCGAGACTGCAGTCTTTATAGGAGCAGACAGGTTCATCTTTCTCATGCAGAATGACTAGTGTATTTGAACTGCCAAATTGCAGTTAGCAGACCATGCTAACCGCACCACACCACTATGTGCATGTACATATTCATATGAGGGGGTACCCAAAAGAAACCAGAATTCCAGATTTTTTTCCCTCATAGCTATGTATTTACATTTTTTTTACAAAACAACCTTATCACCTCCAAAGTTCTCTCCATTACACTGACTACATTTGTCAAATCTGTTATTCCACTCTGGCAAATATTTTTCAAACTCATCTGTTTAGATGGCTGACAGCACCTCCCTCGTTTTTTTTTTTTAACCTCTTCTACATGGTCCCACTTTCATTTTGGGGGGAACAAAAGAAGTCACACAGAGCAAGGTTAAGTGAGTCAGGTGTGTGGGGCAAGAAAGCATGATGGTTTTGGCCCCAAACTGGTGCACTGAGATGGCTGCTTGAGCAGGTACATTGTCATGGTGGTAAAACCAGTCTCCCATCTGCCACAAATCAGATGGTCACATGCTGTTAGGCAGTCTTTTCAGAACCTCTAAATAGAAAGCTTGATGAACAGTCTGTCCTGGTGGGATGAAATCCAAATGCACTGAGTTGACATTTTCATCCTCCATTCCGGAAGTTGATAAACCTCATCCATAATGAGGTTTGTCATCAATTAACATTTCACCTTTTTTGAAATGAGAAAGTCACTCATACACTTGAGTTTTTTCTCATAGCACTGTCCTTGTAAGCTATGTTTGACATCACAACAGTTTCTGCAGTATTTTTCCCGAGCAGGAAACAATGTTTCACAGCCTCACACTGTTCTCTTAAATCAGCCATCACAACAAATGAGGTTTGAGTGAAACTGCTTTTACAAAAAATTCACTGTGACCAGAGAGAACCTTCCCAGGCAATGCCTCTGGGTGCACTAACTCAGAGCAAGTTGCTTGATGCTCGCCTAATGAGAAAAATGCATGCTACGAAAGCTCCACTTGACCCAGCGCAATTCTGGTTGAGTTTTTTTTCTTTTGTTTTTGGGGTTTTTTTGGTACCCCCTTGTATAGTCAAGCCTCTGGATTTATCTACTGGTTAGCATTTCATTGTATATCTATATTCCACAAAGGCGGAGAGGACTTCTTTTTTAAAAACCAGTTGTCTACAGATAGGAACTGAAAATACAGGGAATCCAGGGCCGATGAGCCCTATAGGACCAGTGGTGTGAGTGGCGAAACAGGGAGGGTAAAGGGAGAATGGGTAGGAAAGAGGGAACCAATTACAAGGAACTATATGTGACCTCCTCCCTGGGGGACGGACAACAGAAAAGTGGGTGAAGGGAGACGTCGGACAGGGCAAGATATGACAAAATAACAATTTATAAATTATCAAGGGCTCATGAGGGAGCGGGGAGCGGGGAGGGAGGGGAAAAATGAGGACCTAATGTCGGGGGTTTAAGTGGAGAGAAAATGTTTTGAGAGTGATGTACAAATGCGCTTTACACAATTGATGTGTGTATGGATTGGGATAACAGTTGTATGAGCCCCTAATAAAATGTTTAAAATAAAAATAAAAACCAGTTGTCACTGAATAGACTTCAACTGACAGCTGGTCCCCCAGCCCAGCCCCAGTGTGTTTCATGGACAGCTGGTCCCCCACCCCAGCCCCAGTGTGTTCCATGGCCCTTGTCAAGGACCCGTTCCAATGCCCAGCTGTTCTTCTCAGGTACCTAGGGGTGAACTCAAACTCAAGCTTTTGGTTAGCTTCTAGGACCTCAACTCTTTGGGTCACCAAGGCACTCCACAAAAATAGGCTAGGTGTAAATGTAAAGATAAGGACATCAAGATTCTAAATCGAATGATCTTCTCAAGCAGTTGCAACAATGACCAGACCTGTGCCTATGAGAAAACTAAGCCTCTTTTCTCCTTACTCCGTCCCCTTATTCTTACCATTAAATCACATGTTCTGAAGGGCATTTTTTTCTTGAAGAAATCCCTGTTCACCTGACTCCTTGTGTTTATTTCTTCTGACAGTACCTAAGATGCAGTTTAAGGAACGAGTGTATACTGGTGATGAAAATGCTGGGCAGATAGTGGCAGGGATCCGTAGGAGTGGGGATATCCAGTACCGGTCTTCTGTGAGGTGCTATACACGGCAGGGCTCGGCACAAGTCATGATGGACTTTGAAGAACGCCCCAACACTGATGCTTCCATCATCACCTTCCTCCCTGGTAAGTTTGAGCTTGACATTGTGTTTGGCATTCAAGGAAACCAAGTTTTGGGTGAGAAGGTATATATGAAGGAAACACAAACTCATGAATGTCAGCAAACTTGTGATATAGTTTGTCACCAAGTGATAATATGTTGAGGTAGAGTGTAGCCAATTGAATGTACTTTTGATCTATATCATCTTGTTGACTAGTGCCCTGCATCTTCCCATAGTATCTACACAAAGATTATTCAATGATGAGGTGATAGGGAGCAAAAAAAATCAACCCCACAAGTGGCAGGTTGATTCCAACTCATGGTAGCCCTATAGGATGGGGCAAAACTGCTCCATTGGATTTCTAAGTCTGTAAACTTTAATGGAAGCAAGCCACCTCATCTTTCTCCCATGGAATAACTAGTGAGCTTTAAATGCCAATTTTGTGGGTAGGACCCCAATGCTTAATTCCCTGAATTCACTACCATGGATCCATGGATAGGTGCCACCAAGGTGATGCAGACTGTAAACCGTTGTCTGGTCCTGTGTCATCCTCATGATCACTAGCATGTTTGAGTCCTTGTCCCAATGTGATCTTTCACTGAAGGTCCCTTCACCTTTTCCTGGGAAGTATGATGTCCTCCTCAAGTGGTTAATCCCCACTGAAGAAGTTCCCAAAGAACATGAGCTGAACAATCTCCTGCTGTGATTGATAAGGTTTTCCTTATATAATCATCAGAAGTAGATCCACTAGGCTTTTCTTCCTAGTCTGTCTTAGGCTGGAAGTTCCACTGAAAACTGTTAGTAGTAGGTTAGCCTACTTGCATTTGAAATACTGCTAATATTGCTATAGCATCACAGGAACATACAAGATGTAATAGGATGATGAACTGATGGACTAGCATTATATTTAGTGACTAGAACTTATCAAATGTCCCCATTTCACATTATTGGGGGATATTTACTGATCAAATGAGAGATAGGCAATTTAAATAATCCTCACATATTTAATACATATCTAGAACCTTAAAATGTTTAATCACGTTAATCCAATCATTGTACTTGTAGGAATATATTCAGGGAAACAAAAGTTAATGTATGGAAAGATTTCCTTACATGGGTGTTTAACTCAAAACTGTGTATAATAATAAAAATATTGAAAACAGCTTAAAGGATCAACCATTGAAAATATTTATTTAAATAGTCATAAAATAATAATCATTTGTACCCAATTAAATGGTTTGATAATTATTAATGAGATGGGAGAAAGCGGAGAATATAGTATCAATTCTACCCGTTAGAAGCAGGAACCTGATTATTCTTAGAATGAGGGTTTGTTTTATAAGTCCAAAGTTAATAATACTAAAGATACAACTATTGGTTTCTATTTGCCTAAAACAGAAGAAGAAAAAGCAACAACAACAACAAAAAAGGCAAAAAGCCAAAGAAGAAACTAGTCTACAGGACTAGTACACTACACAAATAATGACGGTCTTGTTTACATTCCCAAGACCAGAAGAAGTAGCTGGTGCTCAGCTACCACAACCAACAGTTCTAATCAGGACCGTCTGGAGGGACCCTAATAGAATGGGAGGAAACTGTGGGACAGAGCCTCAAATTCATTTTTTTTAAAGATCTACTAGATAGTTGAAACTGGACATTTCCCTGAGACGATGGCCAGAAGATACTCTAAACCTTAAACCTAAACTAACCCTTGAGATCACCATGGTTAAATAACAGAGTGCCGAAAAAAAATAGTGACTGTAACCTATACATATGGTGCTCCTTTTTGGAAAAGCATCAGTGAGAGACTAGTCAACAGTTACTAACTAGAAGACCCACAGCAGAAATCATGAGAATCTTCTTGCATTGTCAAGAGTGTAAGCAATGTCACTGATCAGCTGTGTAGAAATTGTTGGATGGGAAACTAAACTGACGTATAAACCTTTAGTGAAAATACTAGTTTTAAGCTGTTACTAATATTCACTGCCATCTAGTCAGTTCTGACTCACAGCAACTCCATGGGACAGCAGAGAATTGCCCTTGTGAGTTTCCAAGGTTGTAAATATTGACAGTAGCAGAAAACCTCATCTTTCTCCCTTGAAGTGACTTCGGGGTTAGAACTGCTGGCCTTATCATTAGCAACCCAGTGCATACCTCCCACACCACCAGGGCTCCCTTCATTTTAAACCCTAGACCTAATACTGGAAGCTAGCATGACAATCATATTGACAATGATCAATCAGTGGACGGCTGCCAATTTTGTTCCTTTATTATATATAAGAAACTTATAAAACAAATCAGTCCTTGTTTTTCCATCATTTTTGATATGTGGCAGAAATGAAAGAAAATCTTTATCCCACGTTTACTTCAAATTTGCTTCATGCCGGACACTATACTTTGTACTGAGAATGTAGCACTAAATCAAACACCGTCCTCACTCTTGTGGCCCTTGCATTCTCTCTGGGAAGAAAGAAATTGTCCCATCACATACAGTCAGACAGAGAGGAGGTACAGCCACCTGGTGTGGCTACCACTGAGGATTTCGTCTTTCGATGAGAAAATGCGTATAATGAGTTTTAAAGCCCATGTGTCCAGTCGCCATCTGTGTCGTTGAAACAAGGCATTTGCAATGAACAAGTCATTGATCTTACAATATTCTATCGTGCAATCTCCAGCTTCGTTTCTATCACCAAGAGCATATTTTCCAACTACTGTCCCTCCCTCTTGGTTTCCAACTTTGGAGGGGGAGTTGACGCACCTCTAAACCCCAGGGTAGTGCACCCAGCACCTGATCCACCGGGGTACAGGCCTGACCGGAGGGACAGGGTGTCAGCAGCCTCTGAATGGGGCTGGGTTGGGTGGGGCGTTTCCCTGCTTCAATACCAGGAAGATGTGGGGGAAAGGAAGGACCCTCCCTGTCTTGTTGCCAACCACCAGTGTGCCAGGCCACTGTCTGGATGGAATGCTGTTTGCAAAACTCCAAGAAGGCTGCATAGCATCAGGCAAGCCAGCAACTCATGCTTCTCTCTCCTCGCTTCTCATGGTCTTCAACCCGCTTTTCTGTCCTTTCTGCTGAAGGTCAAGGTTCCATCATTTTCAGCCATACCTGTTCCATTTGGTCTCTTGTAGAGGGGCTGGGAAGGGTGTGTTTCTAGACCATCGTCTTGCCGGAAATTCCAGCTTTTTCGCCTGCAATCATTAATTCTCCTTATCTTCCCTACCACCGCCTCAGCCAGGCCACTGTTCTCTCTGCTGGCATTGCCACAAACTCCTCTTCTCACTTTTGCCCATCCCCTTGTCATTCTTTCATTCATTCATTTATTTGCAACACAGCAGCTAGTCACCTTTGAAAAACATAAATCTGATCCACTGTAAAAATCTCTTTAATGGCTTTCCATCCCACAAGATTGAGAATGAAATTCAACTTCCTTATCATGGCATAGCGGTTACACGTTGGGCTGCTAACTTCAAGGTCAGCAGTTCAAAAGCACCAGCCGCCTGTGGGAGAAAGACTGGGCTTTTTACTCCCACAAAGCATTCCAGGCTCAGAAACCCAGAGGGAAGGGGCCTTTCTTCCTTGTCCTGCAGGGTCACCAGGAGTCAGAGTGGACACGAAGCTGGTGAGTTTGGGTTTGTTTTATTTTATTGGTTAATCATGGCCTCAGAGAGGCCTTCCTGGTGTGACCCTTTCTGGTTTGGGTATCAGCCCCCACGCTCACTATGTTCCGGGCACACTGGCTTATTTTCAGTCCCTGAAAGAGACCAGCCTCTGTCTTCATTCTCACTATTCTTTTACCTGGAGCAGTCTTCGGTCTGTCTGTCCTTTCACAGCCGGCTCCTCCGCACGGCTCAGCCTTCCACCACCACCTCCTGAGGGAGCTCTTGCCTTCACCGACTCTCCAGACGAGGGTTTTTGTACTCCCTCTGACCTTCATCACTCTTCTCCTGTTTGCTTTTTTCATCTCAGAGCACTGACCTGAATTTTGTAAGTGTGTTCGCTTTTTTTCCCACTGTCTCCCAAACTTGACTGTAGATGCTCCTAAAGGCAGAGATCCTGTTTGTTTTATTCCCCACTCAGCACAGACCCGCTGTCATCGAGTCAATTCCAACTCAGGCCAATTCTGACTCAGAGAGCACCGCAGAAAGCAGAGTTGAACTGCTCCTTAGGGCTTCTGAGACCGTACCTGTTGGGGGGACGAACGGCATCTTTCCAAGCAAAGTAGCTGGTGGATATGAGCCACTGACCTTGAAGTTGGCAGCCCAACACTGACACTCGGGCTTCGTAATCAATGTGTGTTGTTACTGTTGTTGCTGTTAGGTGTTGAGAGTTAGTACCGATTCCTAGTGAGCCTACGTAGAACAAAACAACTGTTTGTACAAACACTGCCCGGTCCTGTGCCAGCCTCACAATTGCTGTTATGTTTGAGCCCCTCCTTGCTGCCATGTGTCAATCGATCTCATCCAGGATCTTCCTTTTCCTAATGCCCTCTACTTCACCACAGACGAGGCCTTTCCCTCTTGATAACATGGGCGAAGTACATGAAAGAAAGGGGCTTCCAAGAAACATTCTAGTTGTACTTCTTCCAAGACAGAGAGGTTTGTTCTTTTTGCGGTCCCTGGTACTTTCAATATTCTTTGCCAGCACCATTATTCGAACGTATGGATCTTTCTGTACAATCCATCTCTCCCCCATCTCTAACCATAAAAATGCACTGATCTACTTTTTGTCATCTTAGTAAAAAATGAATTTCCAGATGTTTGCTTGAAATAGATGTTTTCCTAAAGTGAACTTCTTGAACTTTTATTGGCTGCATCTTCAATAAATAACTTAAACAGGGAATAGAAGAGAACTTTATAAAGGCCACTAGTCCTCATCTTACAATGACTAGGCCAAGTCATTGTAACACTCTGAATCCATTTCTCTGCCTGGGCTAATGGAGACCTCCGTGCCTTACGTAACTGAGCTCCAGGGTTGTCTGTACACCGGCGACAATGTACTGATGGATGCCACATGCTGTTGTCGTGACCACCACCACGCAACAAGATCAGCTCTACGTCCCCCGTGCTCATTGGAATGAAAGGTCACACATAAGAGCGAGAATCCACGTAGATAGAATTATACTGAAATCTGCAAAGTGCTTCCTTCACCATTTCTATGTGTCTTTTGGAGCTATGCAGAGAGAGCCAGATACCGACGTAGAGATAGAGACGTAGATAGAGTTAACTCTGATAGACTGTAAGGAGCTCCAAGCTCACCATTCTTCGTCACTGCAGATCAGCTTGGGGACATGGGTGTGACTGACTGTTGCCTCGATCCTCGTTCCAGGTGAGACAGAGAAGCCTTGCGTCCTTGAGCTGATGGATGACCAGCTCTTTGAAGACGTAGAGGAACTCCGCCTGGTTCTGGGATCTCCACTGAGCAACTCTCCTTTCGGGGCCGCCATTGGTGCCCAGAACGAAACTCTGATCCGGATACGAGATGACGCTGACAGTAAGGAGCCATTTCTTACGTTCCACTATCTGTTGGGAGCTGCAGTGCATTTGCATTCAGGTTTGGGGGAGTGAGGGGGGAAATTGAAGAAATTGAGAAATTTGAAAAGGGAGCAAGATGCCATCACCAGAGCCAAGGCTGTTTATATGGAAGCATGTGGCTTCTGGCCAAAGATGGACAGCCAAGCATTATATTATAAAAGGGTGGGTGGAGGGCACATCCTTCCTTGTAAGAATTTAATTTCTCTCCATTTCCTACCATTTTTAGAGACTGTGATTAAGTTTAGAGAAACCAAATTTAGTGTCAGTGAACCCAAAGAACCAGGACAATCGGTGACTATAAGAATCCCGGTGGTTCGCCAAGGAGACACATCAAAGGTTTCCGTCGTGAGAGTCCACACCAAGGATGGTTCAGCTACGTCCGGAGAAGACTATCTCCCAGTATCGGAAGGTAACGGGGCCTCTGCCACGTCTTGGGGTGGATCAGGTTCTCGCCACATCTTTGTGCGTAGTGCTAACCTTTGTGAGCGTGGAAGTTCCACTGAAACCGTTCTCCCTAAGTGACCCCACAGGCATTTGAAACACCAGTGGTGTCGTTTCCAGCATCCTGGCAACACACAAGCCACCACATACAACAAACGGAAGGACGAGTGGTCGTTAAAACAAAATACAATTGAAACTCTTCGCATGCAATGGACACGGTCAATAAATCCTGTTTGTTAAACTATTGAGTCAACTCTAGCCACACTCACACACTTGTATCCACACAGATATACTCTGACCACATGGGAAAGTCTACTTCTCCTTGTGGGTCACAGTCCAAAGAGCTTGGCCAAGGCCACTCCCGTTCCTATGTCAAGATTTGAGTCTGTGACTTTGCCTTCATAGAAATCGAGTTCAAAGAAGGAGAAACCCTGCACCTGGTTGAAATTGAAGTCATCTTTGATGGGGTCAGAGAGATGAGGGAGGCCTTCACTGTCCACCTAAAACCTGATGAAAATATGATCGCTGAGACACAGGTAAATCCATAGATGTGGAAGAAGTTCATAACCAGCCTTTTCTCAGAGAAGATGTGCATTTACAGCTGCACGGTGTGAAATAGAACAATGAGCCTACCGAAAGGAGATGGGCCCTTTGTCCTTCCTGACTAAGTCTTGTTCTGACTGGCTCTCGTTCAAGAACACCCAAACTCCTTGGGAAAATCCTGTTTGCAGTAGCTCCAAGAGCAGAGTCATTGAGCCCCATATCCATTCATTTGTACTTCCCATTCCAGTTAGTAATGATTGTGAAGTTGACCTCAGCCCGGAAGGGTCATGTTGGCCCAAAGGGGAGACTATGGAATTAGTGCTATTACACAACTCGCTATCAAGCAGATCCAACGGACGGTGAGCTATGTTCTCCATAGACTTTTCGATGACTAATCTTTTGGGAATCGGTCACCAGACCCTTTTTGCAAGGTGCCTCTGAGTGTGTTTCATTCACCAACCTTTGGGTTATTAACCATTTGTACCACATGGGGTGCAAGCATCCTATTGGATGCTAACCAAACCCAAAATCCATGCTACAGCTTACTGAAATCACTTCTTTAACTCCAAAATTATGTTTCCACCCTCAAAACTTCCACCTTCAACTAGTCATGATTTTATCAAAAATGTATGTCCAGAAGTCTCAGGAGCCAGATGATTACAGTTTTAACCCTATTTTTTCTCTTCTTAATTTATACTGCACAAACTAACCAGATTTTCTTTAAGGTAACCAAGATTTCCACACCATTTTGACTTCTATACCTACAAGAATTCTCGTAGCTACATATCATGTTCAGAACCAATCAATTAAAAAAATACTGTGGCTGGATGTATTATTTGTTTCAGTATTTGTGTGTGGTAAAATTGGACAGATATTTTTCCCTTAAGTATTTTTATCACTTTGTAAATTTGATTATTGGATGGTATCCCTGGTGCAGTGCTTAGTACTTTTTTTTTTGGGTTCGTTAAAGTATGCTTTTATGACCTAAAGTTACATTTTTAATAGTGCATTCATTTTCACGGACAAAAATGGGCCATCTCTGGAAATTGTAGAGAGAACGTGTGCTTAGCTTTTTTTAATCATGCCATATGTGCAGTTCAAGGAGTATAGGCCAAGAATCTTTATCGAGTATGCTTTTGTAAGTCTCGATCACATGAAAAGTAAATGGTTCCTTATTTTTTTAGTGGAATACTGTGTTGACTTCTATGTGGTGAAAGGAACAGAGATTCACTCGAATCACCTGCACTGCTGACGACTCTCTTAAGAACACACGTGGAAGTGTCAGTTTGGAAGCTGATATATGCCTTGGCTTGAGAGATATCTATCAAACTGATAGACATGGGGGCTTAGGTGTTCCATAAGATATGGCCAAGTGCCCACAGACATATGAACAACATAGGGAGCCTGGATGTAACATGCCTTATTGTAATGGGGCAGTGGGTCTGATTGCCATCACGAGGATGGTCCGGTTTGGTTCTTTGTAAAAATCACAGACATGTAACATGCCGGCCATCGATGATAATTACCTTTTCCCTACAGGCAACTAAAGTTATTGTGTACATAGAAGAGATGAACAGCATGGCAGACGTCACGTTTCCGTCTGTTCCTCAAATCGTGTCCTTGCTGATGTATGATGACACTTCCAGAGCTAAAGGACAGGTGGAGCCCGTGTCTGGCTACCCTGTTGTCTGTACGACGGTGAGTAGACTATTGATGGAACAGTGTGCTCTCGCTCGCTGAAAATCATCACAAACTCGCCAATATCACATTAACGTTGTCATGAAGAAAATAAAAGTGGGAAGGTTTGTCGGGTTTCAGCATTGAACTTTACCAAAGAAACTATAACCTGAATAAAATAAAGCTCCCATTTGTCTTCCTTTGGCCCACAGAGATTTACCAACTGGGGTGTACATAGTCCTCTACCTCGGAGTAAAGCCTGAGCTATGCAATCCATGAACTTAATAAAGAAGACAAGGTCATCCCAGAAAGGGGACAGAAACACAGGCTACATGTACAGGACTAGCAAAAGAGAAGGCAGCTGATCATTGCTTTTGTATGGGTTTTCTCTGGACTGTCAGTCAGAAGCTCCTGGCGAAAATCACTGTAACTTATTTATTTTCATACAATAATATCTCTTTCGGTATATAACTTTTTTTTAATCAGGCAAAAGTAATAGTTTGAGGACCAAATTATAGAGGACCTTAAATGCCATATTAAAGAGTTGGGACCTGATTGGTTGGGTAGACAGATGGGAGGCAACCGAAGCTCTTACAGTGAAGACTGGCATGATGAACGGGCTAGGTTGGAGAACTCCCATGGTCGTTATTTGTCAATAGACTGGAAGGAAAGGCCCTGCATTATGTAGCGAGGGAGGGTTGGGAACGATGAGACCAACAATAAGAGATGATTCAAAGAATAATCAACTAAGTGCACTCACCCATTATTTGAGTTAATAGAAAAGAGTGGAAGTGAGCAAGGGAGGAGAGAAAACAAGGATGATTCAGCGATTCCGAGGACACAAGAGATGATGGTAGTAAACCTTGTACCTGTAGCGCTCAGGTGAATACTCTCAGTAAGCTGCTTGAAATGCAAAGGGGGCTTTCATAAAAGCGATCACATCTTGGGACAGACATTTGGAAGCTGCAGTAAGCCCATACAGGAATGGGGATAAAGTCCCATGAGGTATGACACAGAGAACGGAGAGTTGTGGCCACCCCATTGTAGACTGCGGTCCTAACCGAGTGCTGTCTTTCCCACAGGCTTGCAACCCCAAATATCCCGACTATGAAAAGACGGGGTCCATCTGTGTGAGTGAGAACATCAACGACACTCTGACCCGATACCGCTGGCTGATTAGTGCCCCCACTGGCCCTGACGGTGTGACCAGCCCCATGAGAGAAGTGGACTTCGACACCTTTTTCACTTCATCCAAGATGATCACTTTAGACTCCATATACTTCCAGCCAGGCTCCAGGGTGCAGTGTGCTGCTCGCGCTGTGAATGCCGACGGGAACGAAGGCCTGGAGCTATTGAGCCCCATCGTAACCATCGGCAGAGAAGAAGGTATTGCTTTGCCATTTTCATGTGAAGAGGAAGTAGAGACAACCTGCTTTAATACCTTGTGGTATTATCAATGTGTCCTGTCTAGTTAGTCTTCAAATGACCCATGTATTTCCTGATTCTCTATTCTAAAAAAATCACCATGGAGGTGATTCCAACGCATGGTGACTCCATGTGTGTCAGAGGACAGCTGGACTGCATGGGGCTCTCCATGGCTGCAATCTCTCCAAAGTTGATCACCTGACCTTTCTTCCTCGGTGCCTCTGGGTGGATGGGAAGGACCACCCTTTGGGTTCGTAGCCACTAAACTTTCCTCTCATACTCTGAGCCAGTACTTTAAAAAAAGGGGGGGAAAGGAATATCCACTGAACAAAAAGATTCATGAGAAAATAGCTTTTGGTGCACCAACATTGTTAAGCATTTTATGTCTGACAGAGTGCGCTATGCCAGCCGGAAAACAAAAATATCAGGTGTGCTCAGGGAGTTTGTGGGCAAGTTGAGATCATGGATACGTGTTAGTCTGGACGGGACAGAGAACTGCAAATGTAGGAGGGTCTGCCTCGAAGCTGAGTTGATCAGAAGAGGCTTCATCAAAGACGTGATGCTTAGCTGGGTATTGAAAAGGGCACAAGGGAGCACAGGAGTGAAGCATGAAAGAGCACAGGGTAGTCTAGACACTGCAACTAGACAAATGGGAAAGGGAGGCAAGGAAGCAATAGTTCAGTGATTCTCAACCTGTGGGTCACGACCCATTTGAGGGCGAATGACCCTTTCACAGGAGTCGCCCGATTTATAACAGTAGCAAAATGAGTTATGAAGTAGCAACGAAAATAATGTTATGGTTGGGGGGAATCACCACAATATGAGGAACTGTATTCAAGGGTCTTGGTATTCAGAAAGTTGAGAATCACTGGACTAGGAGATGAAGCAGGATGGGCTGCACGATGACTTGCATGCCAGCCAATGCTCTCAGCTACTTGTTGAATCAGTAGGCATTGCCCCTTGGCAGGAGGAAAAGGACAGTGTAGGGAGAGAGGGGTGGGCAACTCTGCACACCTGGTTAGGACCAGGGTGGTGGTGTCCAGGAATGCAGCCCAAGAAACTTTAACTCAATTTCCATCAAGCTGATCCCAAGTAGGGCAGCCCAGGGCGCCCAGTGGAACTGTGCTCCGCAGGGTTACCCACAGATTGTTTTAGAAGATCACCACACCTTTCTTCCCAGGTGCTTGTGGATGGATCTGAGCCTCCAACTTTTCATTCAGCGACTGAGCACATTAACCCTTTGCGCCAGCCCGGCAGACAACACTGGGGCTTCAGGAGATGGATCTGGCGAGAGACAGCCCGTCAAAAGCTGGGAAACCCACATTATAAACTAGTCCTTCACGCTGCAGAAAAAAAATTTGAAGTTCAGGCTTAGCAATAGATTTTACTTTTTAAAGTCTCTTTCTAAAGCTGACATTTCTATAGAGTGGTTCAGAGTATATTTGCTGCATAAAGCAAGATCATAATTTCACCTCCGATGATGACATGCTATGGATCAAATTTTAACTGAGATTGTGTATAACTAGAAGGTCAACAGTTCAAAACCCCCAGCTATTCCGAGGGAGGAAGACAGGCGGTCTGCTTTTGTAAAGAGTTACATTCTCGGAAACCCACTGGGCGGGTCTACCTGTCTCATAGGGTCGTTTTGACTCCAATAAACTCCATGGCAGTGAGTTTGGTTTATTTGTTGATTTTTTTTTTTTTTGGTATTAGGATTATAATTCACGTTTCTAAAATTTTCCTTAGAACCATAGTATTCTATTGATTCAAATAAATAAATGAAACTTTAACATGTGTCCCCCTATAACTAAAACAGGCAGCCAGAAACCGGGGTCACCGCTGATTTTTTTATTTGCTCTAATAAATACTTCTCTCCCTTCTCTGTTTTGGGAGAAATGGAAAATAAATTCTATAGTGCTTCGTTCTCTTGACATTTTCATCTTTCATCATGGCCCCTTCCATAAGGTTCAGATGAAAGCATCACAAGAATTCTATTGAGGCAAATATGGGATGGAGATTGTCCTATCGAAGGTCGTGAGGGTCAGTGAGCAAAAGAGAGAAATGTATCATCATTTCTAATAGGCACATTGTAAGAAATCGGAGAAGACATAGAAAACTGTGCGGTTTGGAAGCTTTCTAGAGACTTGTTTTCTTGAAGTGAGTGTTTTAAAAGCAAGTGCATTTTTTTGTCTTACTGGTTTCTAATTATGCATATTGTAGAGCCCTCTCCCTCCATCAAGCCAATTCTGACTCACAGCAACCCCATAGGACAGGGAGGAATTCCCTCTGTGGATTCCTGACACCCGAACTCTTTACAGGAACAGAATGTGCCTCATCTTTCTCCCACCGAGTGGGAGTAGCTTCAAACTGTTGACCTTGTGATTAATGGCCAAACTGGTAACCACTAGGCCACCGGGGCTCTTCTCCTATGTAGCTAGTCATATGCATGTATACTAGCATGAAAAATCAGGTTCACTTAGTTAAACTGAACTTTTTCCCTCTATTGGCTTTCAATATTTTTTTTACTCTCTGAGTGTTTTATAAAACATTTTGTGAATATGATCATAACTTAAAATATACCGCCACCAAAAAAAAAACTCACATCCAAATTCCCTGCCATCCAATCACATCCAACTACTAGCAATTCCATAGTACTGAGT